CCTTTTGCTAATAACTCTTTGTTAAGCCCTGTTCTGTGTAGCTGTTAGACCTGCTCACAGACACATAGTACATTCTGTGTCCTTGTACTTTAACCAAGATGTCTGTGCTGGGTGTGCTCACAGGCATGTCCCAGCTTGCAGCCTATGCCCCTTCCTTATTTGGACTTTCTTTTTGTTCTCCATTGCTTTACCTGTTTAAAAAAAGTTTTAAGTTGTTAGCCAATCGGGTTTTAGTTTAGATTGTGAGGTCTGGCTCCAACCAACAGAGATCAGACATGGCAGTAAGAACAACCCCAAATGCATAAGGAATAAACATGTCTGCTTTTCCTTTGTTCATCGTACTCTTATGGCAAGATGGCTAGCAAGGGTACCCTTCCTGCAGGAAGTAAAAATTGCCTTGCTGAGAGATCATTTGTCTCAGTGCTAATTTTTCTTTGTGGCACTGAGCATCTGTTTTCAGCAAGTAATGTAAGGCCCCGTGGAAGAGATGGCAGAACACTGATGGAGGACTGGAAGAAAATAGGTGGTTGGAGAAAATATATAAAGCAGGAGTGTTTAATACAAGAGGCTGGGAGGTAGGCAAGGGCCAGGCCTCCCAGGTCTTGTAAGTCAGGGTTCCCCAATTCCTGGACCATGAACCAGTACTGGCCCCTGGTCTGTTACGAGCTGGGCTGCACAGCAGGAGGTGAGGAGCAGGTGAGGGAGCATTACGGCCTGAGCTGTGCATCCTGTCAGATCAGGGGTGGTTTTAGTGTCTCACAGGAGCCCAAACCCTATTGTGAACTGTGCCCGTGAGGAACCTAGGTTGTGTGCTCCTGATGAGAATCTAATGCCTGATGATCTGAGGTGGAGCAGTTTCATCCTGAAGCCTTCCCCTCCCACATGCAGTTCATGGAAAAATTGCCTTCCACAAAACCAGCCCTAGGGACCGCTGTTGTAGGTAACTTCAAGGGTTTTGCCTTTATTCTAAAGCAGCTGGATTAGATTAGATTTGCATCTGGAAAAATCTTCCTGGATGCAGCGTGGACAGCTGTGGAAGACACGGGGGGCAGAAGGATTGGTGGGAAAGCTGGGATATCTAGGGGGGTGGCCATGGAGGCAGATAAATGGGTGGATTTGAGAGATCTGGTGAGCAAAATCAACAAGGCATCACGATAAATTGGTAAGGGTGACAAGAGGACAGTGTCAAGGCTGACTCCCAGATTTCCGCATGATTGTTTGGACGGTGTTGCCTTTTCCTTATCAGTGTGCTATCAACGCCACAAGACATTCTCATTATTTTTGTTTAAATTGTCAATTAGGGCCTGGTGTGGTGGCTCACCGCTGTAATCCCAGCACTTTGGGAGGCCATGGTGAGGAGGTGGATCACCTAAGATCAGGAGTTCAAGACCCGTCTGGCCAACATGGTGAAACCCTGTCTCTACTAAAACTACAAAAATTAGCCAGGCGTCATGGTGGGCACCTGTAATCCCAGCTACTCAGGAGGCTGAGGCAAGAGACTCACTTGAAGCTTGGAGGCAGAGGTTGCAGTGAGCCGAGATTGAGCCACTGCACTCTAGCCTGGGCAACAAGAGCTAAACTGCATCTCCAGATAGAAAGATAGATAGATAGATAGATAGACAGATAGATAGATAGATAGGCAGGCAATTAGCTTTGAGAGAGATTTAAATACTTTTTGAAGGCATTTATATATTTGTCCGCGTCGTTGCCACTTTTGCTGTTCTCTGTTCCCTGTGTAGGTCCATATTTCCATATGGCATTTATGTAAATAGTGCCTTTAAAATTTTTTTTAATTTCTCTCTGCTAACAGTGAACTAGTAGAAATGAATATAGTAGCCTCTTTTTGTTTTTCCTATTTGCATTTGCTTTATTGTACTTCTTCCTTTTTTTATTTTATTTTTATTTTTGGTTGACACATAATTGTACATCTTTATGGGATACAGTTCAATGTTTCAATACATGTATATGTTGTGTGCTGATAAAATCAGGACAATTTGCATATCTGTCACCTAACACACGTAACATTTTTTTGTGGCAGGAACATTCAAAATTCTCCCTTCTAGCTCTTTCGAAATATACAATATGTTATTGTTAACCATAGTCACCGCACTGCAATAGAAACCAGAACTCATTCCTCCTGTCTGACTGTAACTGACCAGCCTCTCCTCATGCCCCCACCCTGTTCCCTCCCCAGCCTCTGGTAACCACTATTCTACTTTCTACTCTTGTGAGAGCAACTTGTTTAGATTCCACAGGTGAATAAGATGGTATTTGTCTTTCCATGCCTGGCTTATTTCATGGAACACAATGTCCTCTAGATTCACCCTGTTGTCATAGATGTCAGGATTTCGTTCTTTTTTACGGTTGAATAGTACTCCATTGTGTATAGGTACATGTTTCTATATCCATTCATCTTTGATGACACTTAGGTGGATTCCATGTCTTGGCCATTGTGAATATTGTGAATAGTGCCACACTCAACATGGCAGTGCAGATGTGTCATTAACACTCGGATTTCATTTCCTTTGGGTATATATCCAGAAGTGGGATTGCTGGATTGTAGGGTAATTCTATTTTTAATTTTTTGAGGAACCTCTGTGCTGTTTTCTATAATGGCTATACTAATTTATATTTCATTCCCACCAATAGTTCAAAAAAGGGGAGGGGGGCTCCCTTTTCCTCCACGTCCTCAGCAACACTCTTCTTTTATTTTTGTTTTTGATAATAGCCATTCTGACTGGAGTGAGGTGATACCTCATTGTGGTTTTGATTTGCATTTATCTAATAACTAGTGATGGTAAACATTTTTTTATATACCTGTTGGCCATTTTTATGTCTTCTTTGAGAAATGTATATTCAGTTATTTTACCCATTTTTTAATCAGACTATTTGGGTTTTCTTTCCTCCTATTGAGTTGTTTGAGTTCCTTATCTATTTTAGATATTAACCCTTTATCAGATTTATAGATTACAAGTATTTTCTCTCATTCTATAGGTTGTGTCTTCATTCTGTTGATTATTTTCTTTGCAGGACAGAAACTTGTTAGTTTGATAGAATCCCATTTGTCCATTTTTGCTTTTGTTCCATGTGCTTTTGAGGTTTTATCCATGAAATATTTGCTCAGACCAAAGTCATGAAACATTTCTTATTTTCTTTTAGTAGTTTCAGTTTGGGTCTTACATTTTAAGTCTTCAATCTATTTTCAGTTGATTTTTTTATCTGGTGAGAGACAGGAGTCTAGCTTCATTTTTCTGCATGTGGAGATCTAGTTTTCCCAGCACCATTTATGGAGGAGACTGTCCTTTGCCCAGTGTGTGTTCTTGGCACTTTTGTCAAAAAATCATTTGGCTGTAAATGTGTGAATTTGTCTCTGGGCTTTCTATTCCATTCTCTTTGTATGTGTGTCTGTTTTTATGCCAGCATCATGCTGTTTTGGTTACTATAGCTTTGTAGTATATTTTGAAGTTGGGTAGTATGCTATCTTCAGCTTTGTTATTTTTGCTCAAAAGCTATTTGGGGCCTTTTGTGGTTCTATACAAATGTTAGGATTTTTTTCTTGTCCTGTGAAGAACTGGTATTTTGATAGGCATTTCATTGAATCTGTAGGTCACAGTGGGTAGTATGGTCATTTTAACAATATTCTTCCAATCCATGAACACAAGATATCTTCCCATTTATTCATATCTTCTTCAATTCTTTCTTTCTTTTTTTTTTTTTTTCTGTTTAAGGCAGCCTCGCTTTGTAGCCCTAGCTGAAGTGCAATCATGTGATCTCAGCTCACTACAACCTCCACCTCCCAGGTTCAATCAATTTTCGTGCCTCAGGCCCCTGAGAAGCTGGGATTACAGGCCTGCACCACCACGTTCAGCTAATTTTTGTGGTTTTGGTAGAGGTAGAGTTTCTCCATGTTGGCCAGGCTGGTCTCAAACTCCTGACCTCAGATGGTCTGCCCACCTAGGCCCCTCAAAGTGCTAGGATTACAGGTGCAAGCCACCATGCCCAGCCTGCTTCAGTTCTTTCTTCAGTGTTTATAGTTTTTGTTATAGAGATCTTTCACCTCCTGGGTTAAATTAACTCCCAAATATTTTGTTTTTTGTAGCTATTGTAAATGAGATTGGTTTTTTAAATTTCTATTTTAAATAGTTGTCTGTTAGTATATAGAAATGCTGCTGATTTTTTATGTTGAGTTTGTATCTTGTAACTTTACTGAATTTGTTAGTTTTGACATTTTTTTATGGAGTCATTAGGGTTTTCTATACATAAGATTATGTCACTGCAAACAGGGACAATTCAACTTCTTTGTTTCCATATTTGGATGCATTTTCTTTCTCTTGCCTCACTGCTCTGAGAAGGACTTCCAGTACTGTGTTGAACAGAATGGCAAGAGCAGGCATTCCTGTCTTGTTCCAGGTCTTTTTTTCCCTTTCTTTTTATTTTGTTTTATTATTTTTGTAGAAGCTGGGTCTTGCTATGCCACCTGGGCTGTTCTCAAACTCCCGGGCTCAAGTGAGCCTTCCCGCTCAGCCTCCCAAAGCTCTGGGATTCCAGGTGTGAGCCGCCGCACCCAGCCTTGTTCCAGATCTTGAACGGAAAGCTTCCAGCTTTTCCCCGTCCGGTTAGCTTTGCCTTTGTTTTATTAACCCTGTATTGAATTCTGTAACCCTGCTGAACTCATTCTTTCTAGGTCTAGGAACTTTTTCTAGATTTTTTTGGTATTTCCTATGCAGAAAATCATAAGTATGCAAATAAAGACAGTTTTGCTTTTTTAACACCTATGCCTTTTATTTTTTTTTTTCTTGCCTTATTGCACTGGCTGGGACCACCAGTGCAGTGCTCATAGAATTAGTGAGAGTGGGCATCCTTGCCTGGCCCTTGATCGTACTGGGAAAACAGTTCAGATTTTACCATTAAGTCAGTTAGTGATAGGTTTACGTATATGCTCTTCATCCGATTGAGGGAGTTCTTTCTTATTACTGATGTTTTGGCTTTTTCTCTTTTAGCAGTAGAAGACTCAGAAAGTGGTGTTTACATGCGATTCATGAGGTCACACAAGTGTTATGACATCGTTCCAACCAGTTCAAAGCTTGTCGTCTTCGATACTACATTACAAGTAAGTGTACTCAATTTTCATGAATTTGTGGTATATTTTTTGGATGGCTACTTTATACAGTAATTAAAAACAGCAATGCAGCAGACGTTTATTGAGTTCTTTGCCCATATCAGGCACTGTGCTGAGGTTGTATCTGAGTTCTCAGTATCTATGGCAATCTTATAAGAAATGTGCTTTTACTGTTCTCTTCCTAAACACAGGGAAACTCAAACTCTAGAGTTTAAGAACTTAAGTCAGAAAGCTTTGGCTGGGCGCAGTGGCTTATGCCTGTAATCCCAGCACTTTGGGATGCTGAGGCTAGCGGATCACCTGAGGTCAGGAGTCGGAAACCAGCCTGACCAATGTGATGAAACCCCATCTCTACTAAAAATACAAAAATAACTGAGTGTGGTGGTACACGCCTGTAGTTCCAGATTCTCAGGACCCTGAGGCAGGAGAATCACTTGAATCTGGGAGGTA